ACACATACACATACACATACATATTCTATTTAATTATTTAGTTAGTTATTGATTTATTCATTGCTTGTCTCAACATGTAGATAACGTATGTACCCGAGACGGCCGGCATGCATCAGGTTATCGATACCAACGGAAGCTATGAACCTGGTCCAGACACCCCCACAGGCTTCTTGGATTCAGGGTTTCAGGGGTTAGGACCTAAGATATCTTTTGCCTAGCTTCCAAATCCTGAGATCCCGAAACCCTAAACCTTCAAACCCCCAGACCCTAGACCCTAAACCCTTAAACCTTAAAAGCCCTAAACCCCCGACCCTAAGATTCAGGGGTTAGGTTGAGTCAAAGGCATTGCGAGTTCATGCTTAGAAGGCTGAAGGTTTTCGGGTTTGGTATTTGAGGTTTGGCGGGTTTTCGGGCTGCTGTTTCGGGTTTGCAGCTTGTAGTGGTTACATTTATGTAGGGTTTAGGGTTTGGAGCATTTCTGGGCTTCTGGGTTTCGGACTGTGCCGTTAGCTCTTAAGCTTGTGGTATTCGGGGGTTTAGGGGCTAGCAAAGGTACATGGTATAGCGGGGCATGCGATCTCTGCAGAAGTGGCACATGACAGCTTAACCCCAAACCCTGAACCCTAAGCCCCAACCTTCGGCTACGAACCCAAGCCCAAAAGACTTAAACGTACAAGCCTAAACCTGACAGGCGAACAGGCCCCTAAGCCCGAAACAATAAACGACTAGATCCTAAACCCCAAAACCTCTACGGTCCAAACTTTAAACCCTGTCAGCCATAGGGCCTAATGTTTGGAATAAGCACCCGATACCCAACTCCGTTTGTAAGCATTAAAATTGTATTTAGTGACAACAATACGCGCAAATCTTAATAGCAGTTGTAGCATTTGTGAGAGCAATACTACTTGGTATCATCATTTTTCATCATTACCAATACCACGACTAGCTATGTCACCATGCTTTTCATTTTTATTACCTTTGCTGCTTGAATTGTGTTTCTAGCATGGTTATTGCTTTTGTTATCATGATTATCATTGTTGTTATTTTTGTTTTGCGATTGTTCTTATGACTGTTTTTTATGAACAGTGCTAGTGTTATGGCTATGGTTACTGTTATTGTTTGTTTTTGTTAATGCTTTGATTATTATGATAATGTTTCGATTCTCGAATACTATACCACCATTACTATTATGAGCATCATTTGCACTATTATTGTTGGTAATATTGGTATTAGTATTCTTGCTTTTTGTAGTCCTCGTCGTTGCCGTCGTCGTCTGACATGTAATGTTATGCCTTTCGTCTGTATTTCTTTCGTTTATCGCTATGAATCATCAAAAGTCATCTTTCATAGTATTCATGTACTATCATAACCAGAATACTAGCAATAACTATATCAATACTAAGACCTGCCAATCTTAAGCCTAAGCCCTAAACCCTGAGCCCTAACACCTGCCGTTGTTAACTCTTCTTATCTAGGACATTTTCAGGTGGGTAGTTACCGCTATAGGAGCCTTATAGAAGGTCTATATACCGTATAGGAGCCTTATAGAAGCCCTATATACCCTAAACTCGCCACCTGTAGTTTCCTAAACCCTAAACCCTAAACCCTAAACCCTAAACCCTAAACCCTAAACCCTAAACCCTAAACCCTTTCCTTTAATCTTAGCTCCAAGGCCAGCTCCGACAAGAGTTCATCCCCAGGGAATGCCCCGTGCTGGGATGCAAGCGCCCAGGTTCCGCAACCTGGCGAGGGGTTTAGCGTTTAGGGATTTAGGGGTTAAGGGTTTAGGGGTTTAGGGTTTAGGGATTTAGGGATCTAGGGGTTAAGGGTTTAGGGTTTAGGGTTTGGGTTTTAGTTTTAGCGTGCAGTGTCGAGGTTGCGGGGTTGAGGGTTTAGGATGTACGGTTTGGGGCGCGGGGTTTAGGGGTTCGTTTTATAGCAGGGTGTTTTTCGGGCTTTGAGTAGGGTTGCTACAAGGGTTGGTATCAGGGTTGCTATTACTAAGGTCCAGCATTAGAGCGACGACGGCTTAGGCTTTTAGGGTTAGGATTTCGGGAGTTGGGTTTGGGGTCCAGAGCTCGTCTATTGTGTTCAGTGGTCTACTTCTGTACTTTGTTTTTGCTTCTGAGGTCCCGAGTTCCAGTTGTTGTACAAGGTGCCCAAACCCTAAACCCTAAACCCTGAACCCTAAACCCTGAGATTTATGCTGTTCCCTGTGGCTTGTTGGAAGGAAACCGAGGGTTTCGGTGATTTTCAGTTTCAGCGATCCTCCCAAAGCCCTAGACCCTAAAACTTAAGCCCTAGACCCTAAACCCTAAACCCTAAAACTTAAGCCCTAGACCCTAAACCCCAAACCCTAAAACTTAAGCCCTAGACCCTAGACCCTAAACCCCCAAAACTTAAACCGCTGTTATTCCCTGAACCCTCATCCCCATCCTTCTCGTCCCATCTGAGGCAAGGGGGACCATAGCCCTAAAACTTAAAACCCCGAATGCTAATACCAAACTTCCGGTCCTTTAGGGCTTCGGGGTTTAGGGGTTTCGGTTTAGGGGTTTAGGGTTAAGGGCTTAAGGGTTTAGGGTTTAGGAGTTTAGGGTTTAGGGGTTTAGGGCATAGGGGGTTCAGGGTTTAAGGTTTAGGGTTTAATGAGGGGTCTAGGGGTCCGAGGCAGATGGGGACTTCAACAAGATCCGTCGTTGGTCAGATCCCAGCGGATGGCCAGACGGCAGGCTCCTTCCTGAGGGGCCTCTACTTTGAGGTTCATGGGTAGGTAGAAGGTTGCTTTAAGGGTTCTAGTGGGTAACTGGTTCCTTTAAGGGATCTAGACGGGCTCCTTTAAGGGTTCTATAAAGGCTCTGTAAGGGTTCTACTTGGAGGTTCATGGGTAGGTATCAGGTTCCTTTAAGGGTTCTAGAAGGGCTCCTTTAAGGGTTCTATCAGGGCTCTGTAAGAGTTCTACTTTGAGGTTCATGGGTATTTATAGGTGGAGCTATACGCCCCTTAATATAGGCTATATAGTTTATCCTGTTTACAACCCTACTTAAAACTACCCATCGTGTGCTCCAAGGAAAGGTTTCTACGAGGGCTCTATAGGGTTAAGGGTGGATAGAAAATTCGGGTTTAGAGTACCTGGGGTTTAGGGTAGTTCGGGTCTTGGCTAATCTACCAGAGGACGGCACGGTTTAGGGTAGCCTGCATTGTCACCAGCCGTAAACGGCTCTTCTAAAGCATATGTGTGAGGTATGTTCTTAAGCAGTGCATAGAAGGATTTTTACTGTTTAGGGTGGATATAAGGATCCTTGATCTTCCGCCTGCGGGGATGAAGAAAGTAGGGTCCTTCCGATATGTTGTGTATTGGTGGTTGATCAACCCCAAACCCCTGGCCCAAAGTCAACCTAGCCCAGCAGCCATAGCCTTCCTTGCACAGATCATGCATGATCTTTGGGCGCAAGATACCTCAGCATATGAGTCCTCAGAGCGTTTCAGGGTAGAGGGCTCGTACATATGTTGATCCCAGCCCAACTCCTTAACAGACATATGCCAAGACGAGTACGAAAATGGGGAATTCCATGCGTTCATAAGGATCAGACGGGGTTGATAGGTTTCTCAGGGCTTTTTGTTTGAGGGGTTCGGGACGTCTCTGGGAAAAAGGCCCTTACAACATTCTTTAGGATCCCACTCCCACCATTTGGGGCATGAGGCTCCTGGATGATGGTCTGTGCACACTTGGAGGTTCATGGGTAGTTATACGTGGAGTCACAAGTCCCCTAATATGGGTGATAACTATAGTTACCCTACTTATAACCCTACTTATGACTACCCATGAACCTCCAAGCAGCATCCAGATCCAATCTCTGGGGCCGGAAAGCGTCCGCAGATCCACTGTCGTCAACGAGTCAAGCCCGACAGCCCAAAGCAACTTCACAGAATCTGCAACCACCCTTGCACACCCTAAATCTGTATAATGTAGGGGCCTGAATAATTGGAATAAGGTTTCGGGGGCTCCTTATTATAATTATAATTATATATATATATATATATATAACATACCCCCCGAACGCTATTCTAAGTACTAAGGCCCCTAAATAAAGCCCCAAAGAGTCCCTAAACCGAAAGACCCTCAAGGCTCATGCGGGAAGCTGATGGAGAGACTTGCGGTTCCCATGCGCCTCAGCCCGATGCACCCAAGCCACCCTAAACCCTAAACCCTAAACCCTAAACCCTAAACCCTAAACCCAAACCTCATTTTTGAACACTGTAGGGGCCTTAATAACTATAGCTATAAGTGCTATAAAAAAAGAGAACCTCTAAACCCTATTCTAATTATGAGGGCCCCCTACATTACACCACCTAGACATGATATTCATAAATGAACAGAGTCAGAATATGAGAGACAAGAAACCCTAAACCCTAAACCCTAAACCCTAAAACAAGAAAGCCCCGGCAGTTGCCAGGCTCCCTGAGGAGATGGACAATGTCGTCCTCCCACCCGAGGACTCCGGGTAAACAAGCCTTGGGCTATACACCCCATACCCGCTTAGATGTAGTATAATCTGGGGCCCGTAATAATTACCCATCCTATTTTAGGGTTTCCTTATTAAAAATTATAGTATGATAGACCCCAAAGCCATATTCGAATGATTAAGGCCCCTACATTCGTCTGGTTTGGCGGTTTACGGCTTAGGGCTTCGGCAGGATGGGGTTTCAGTGCAGGGTTAGGGTTTTGGGTTTTGGTTTAGGGTTCAGGGTTTAGGGTTTAGGGTTTTGGTTTAGGGTTTAGGGTTTTAGGAATGAGGGGTTTGGGGCCACAGTGGAAACCCCCCGAAGCCGCACGGCATGCAGGGAAGAGATCTGGAGAAGCAAACTTAATCGCCCGTTGTTCCCATAATATCTCCCAAGGCCCTTTTTCTACCTACTAAGGCCCCATAGTAGTTCCTTTTTGGGGGTTACCTTATAGGATTCTATATATGAACCCCAAAACAGGAACTACTTTAGGGCCTATGGGTACCTACTGAGGCCCCTTTTTGTTTGACCCTTTTTCCCGAAAGCTTTGAACCCTGAAGCTCCGTGTGGAGCTTCAGAGCAAGGTAGATCCAGAGCTTAGAAGTCGTCCAAGGTTAGTTTTTGTTAAAATATGGGTTTAGGGTTCCTGCAGTTTAGGGTTTTAGGGTTTTAGGGTTTAGGGTTTAGGGCTTTGGAATTGGGATCCCGATGATGGTTCGTGGTCGAGGACTTGGTTTATAAGCAGGAGTCTGTATGGGCAGGCTGACTTACAGCTGTACTTTAGAGCCCCGACATATGTTGGAATTGGGGTAAAAGCCCTGAACCCCAAACCCTAAACCCTAAACCCCAAACCCCAAACCCGAAACCCGAAACTCTTAACAGTACGGTGCTAGTTGGGTTGTAAGTTCCCCGAGGCAAACGTGCAAATATCGACAGCCTTGGAGCTTTTTCGGGCTTTAGCCCCGGAGCCTGATAGAGGTTGAGGACCGATCCTACAGTTTAGGGCTTTAGGGTTTTAGGGTTTAGGGCTTTAGGGTTTTAGGGTTTAGGGTTTAGGGTTTAGGGCTTTAGGGTTTTAGGGTTTAGGGTTCAGGATTTTGAGGTTTAGGATTTTAGGTTTAGGGTTTAGGGTTGGTCCTACGATCCGTGACTGTAAAGAACAGAGTTGATTAATCAGGGCCACATGAGCCCCAAACTTACATCGGAAAAGCTGACTACCCTCAAGCCTTAACAACCTACAGCTAAACCGTACCCATACCTTAACCAACCAAAACCCACTTGTTTGTAGGTTCCTATTATAAACCCTAACAGGGGGTTTATAGGGACCCTAAGTTAAGGTAGCTCCAAACTCCACAGCACAGTCGGCCATGACGGCTGGAGGCCTTCAAACAGACCTGCCGTTCAGCCCTTCGTGAAAGAACCTCATCCACCCACACGCCACGGCAAAAGCCTCGCTCAAAACCCTAAACCCTTATAAACCCCTAAACCCTAAACCCATAAAAAGGACAACGTCCTACTGGACATCGAGACCCCCGTGCTTCATTGGTTGCTCGGCCGGTTGCGCCATAAAGGCTTCGAAGCAAGATCCGCCAAGCCCTTGAGACCTTGATAAGTCCTGGGATCAGGAGCAATCGGAACTCCTGCGGCTTTATGATAAGAGATAAGATGAGCTCACAGAGTTGTTGTTTGTTTTTTCGTTTCAGCCTGGGGGGTTAAAACCAATCTAATTTCTTCTCGGCACGCAGGTTCTCTCCGTAGGGTTCATGCAGTGACATGTGGCATGCAGAACTAGCCACTTTCGCGTGCAAAGAGCGTGCCCCGCTATTGCGGGAGACTGGAGGCGTGGTTGACCGATTTTCCTGCAATGGGGACACCAAGAGTTCTTTGTTCGGAACATCGCCAGGTCTTGCCTGCCACATGTGACCCTGCTGACACTTCCAGCCCACTTTCATAGACTTGTTTACATCTTCTGCCGCCAAGCACTCGCCACCCAGACGCATGGCATGCTCTTGCAGTCGACGCACATCCAGCAGAGATCAGATGAACATTCCCCGCGCAAACTGGGCACCAAGTTCTATGATTCAAGACGTTGTAGGGGCTTGCGTGCCATCTGTGACCTTCGTGGCACTGCCAGATCACTGGCTCCAGCATGTCCTCGTAAGCAGTTGAGAGGCAGCGGCCACCGAGGGAAGAAGCATGCTGCTGCAAGTCCTTCAAGCGCCACTTCTTGCATGTTCGCCACCAGAGTGAGCAAGCAAGGCACCAGCTTCCTTGGCTAAGCGCATGGTTAGGCGAGGCGTCCCATTTGTACCCCAGCTTGCACTGCCAAAAGGACCTTGTTCTGGAGCTGGAGTTGTTGTATTTGCTCTTCGACAGACACCTGCCGCCTGGTGCCCCCGCGAGATCTTGCAGCCGCTGCACAGGGATCCACCGGCTATTTTTGGCACGCTCGGGGCACCAGGTCTTCGTTATTCAGCACACTGTATGGAACAGCATCCGAGGCATGTCCATGTTGGCACAAGTTGGCACCGCCAACGGACTTTCGTTGTACAGTTTCTGTACCAGATGGCCAGGCACTTGCCACTCAGGGCCACGGTGTGCTGGTGCAGTCGATCGAGCATGCTCTGCCGTTTGGCACCCAGGCTTTCCAGTGGTTTAATTGACCTTTCGCCTATCTTCGTATGACTCGTCCTCTGGGCCTCCTCACGAAAATCCTCACCGCCGACCCTGCAAAAGCCTCAGCTGCTGCAAGTCGCGAGGGAGCATGCTTGCCAACAGGCCCCCAAGGATGATGCCAGGTCCATGCTGCTACACTCGGCAGGTGCTTGGCCAAGTCGCGCAAGCATAGTCGTGACAAGCTTTGGTGGGTATGCGAGCCGGGACACAGGTGGGAAGCCTCTGCCAACAACGTGCTGCATGGCAAGTCGTGGTGCCCAGAGTGTGCAGCCATCATCTGGAGCACGGAGGCGGACATCCGCAGCATCCTGGGGACCATCTTCCATCCGGCTCATTTTTTCGTCTTGTTACCCTCCTTTCCTGAAACGCTTGCGCTTGGATGGGCACTGTTTTGACTTGCAGTTAGCCTTCGATCCCGAGAACTACTTCCATTTCGGTGATCCTTCCAATTTCCACGCCAAGCAAGCCAAGGATGCTAGGAAGGTCGAGCTTTGCAGGCATGCCGGGGTGCGACTCGTGATCATCCCACGAAACAACAACAAGACCTTTGTCCTGACAGCCTGCTGCAGTGGTTCGCCTGGGTTCAGATGGCACAGCCCGAGCTGCCTAGCTGACGGCTACCCGAATTCATGGACTGGCTTTTGATAACTCATCCGCTGAAAGAAGTCATCGGATACCCATCTTGATTTCCAGGCGAAGTTGTCGCGGGTAACCTTCATGCTCTGGGCATGCACTCGCAGCCTATGGCAAAGATATTCAGGACAAGTCCACCATGCCACAGTGTTTCGCTGAGGCTTGTTGGTCAAAGAAGCTGAATCTAGGTTTTTCGCTTTGAAGATATGCATCTATAGGTGGCCTGATTAATTGTAATTACTGCGTTTTGCAGTTGTCTCATGCACAGGCCCGCCCGGCACACAGTCATCACACTGCAGGCTCATTGCGTGGAATCGGATCACGAGTCGTCGTGTGGTGTCGCCTTCGTAGTAGGGGTAGCAGTAGTCGTCTTTGTTGTCGTCGTAGTAGCAGTAGTAGTCGTCGCCGCCTGAAACTTCAGGAACTTTTAGATTTAGGATGATTTAGGGTTGGTGTTTTGTGCAACTGTTTGGTTGAATTTCGCTAATATACGGTATTATTGCTTGAGACTGAATGTAGAACCCCCCTGAAACCCTTACAACACCTACTGCACTCTCACAATACCTTTACAAGTCCCAAGATAAGCTTAAAGCATGTTGCTATGTTGCCATAAGACCCATAATGCGTCCAAAATGTAAAACGCTGATTGACAACCCCTTTTCCCTTCAGAAGATTATATAGCACTAGGGGTCCGAAGACTAATGTCCATGAAACAAAGGGATCTATTCTTCGCGGCCGACATTCTGCCACAAACCTTAAAGCACTTCTGAGACTTTCAGAGCATTCTCTCTATGAAGCCTTTATGACAATCCTAGAAGAATCCTGTATAACCCCATCAACAAGAAACGAAGCCCTTTTCACACAAAACATTATAAAACCGAACGGAAAATACGCGAAACAAACAAACACCTGAAGAAAATTCCACACTCGAAGCCCTAAGCCCGAGGCCAAAACCCCAATACATAGCCCAAAAAGCCCTAAAACCTTCAAACCTTAGAAAAACCAGGCTGGAGATCCCTAAACCCTAAACCCGAAACCCTAAACCTTAAACCCTAAAGCCCTAGAAAGACCAGGCTGGAGATCCAGGGTCGTCTGGAGTTTGACAGGGAGGCCTGAGCGCAGGGTTTTCCTCTTGGGTTTAGGGTTTAGGGTTTAGGGTTTAGGGTTTAGGGTTTAGGGTTTAGGGCTTGCGGGACTCGGGGTTCGGGGTATGAGTAGGGCTCCTCTAAGGTTTTTGTTTTTGCATGTAGGGGTCTGTATAAGTAGGGCGCCCATCAGGTTTTTGTAGGGTTTAGGGATTAGGGTTTCCTTGTTTTTAAGGCTCGGGCGGTTACAATAGGGTTAAACCAGGAGCCGGAAAGTTAGAATATAATTATCACCATGCCCTTAAGGCAAGTATAGGGATTCCAGCAAAAAAGCACCCTTACTCCATGTTCCAACTTTCTGAGGTTCAGCATATGGGAGTTTCCGAAAATGAGGGGTACCTTATTTTGGGGTCCTTATAATAAGGATCCTATTATTTAGGGTACTATATTGGGGTCCCCTATTTTCGGAAACTCCCATTTAGACTAGACATGATTGTAGTTAGTATAGGAACGCCCAAAATCATCCTTCTAGTAAGTAGAGGAGCCCCAGCGGTACCCTTTAACTTTAAGGTAAGCCTTACATGTCACAGATCAAAGTCTGACTGTAATCGTCTTACCCAAACCTGAGCCCCGGATAGGAAGCCTCTGACGGTTCGTGTTGCTTCTGAAACCCTGCGAGGGCTCTTTTCCCTTTTAAGTGTGAGGTGTCTAAAGTCTAAAGGGGTCCAAGATGGAGTGCAGGGAGCTCTGGGGTTTATGAGGGTGATTAGGGTTTAGATCCCGCAGTAGGGGGTTGACCCTGAGCCGAAATGGGCAGGTCAATGCGACCTTGCATGCCCACTCGGTGAAGGTCTGGGGCATTCTGGAGATGGGGCCACTCATCTGGCGTGATGGCACTGCTTCAATGTAGCATGTAAGAAGCAGTGGTGGCCTTGGTCGATTTCACATTGCGTCCTCAATCCGGGAATCATAGTCCTGAAGACCCTACGGTGCGGTGCATAGCTCGATCTTATTGGCTGACGACTTCAAGTTCGTGATTTTTCCATGTTCGGCTGGCCTTCTTGCGACTGCTTGTGGGGTTTAGGGTACTGGAAATCCCTGGGCGTTGAGGTTTAACGCTCATGGTCTTTTCGAGCCCTTTGCCAATCCCTCTGCTAACGAAGGCTGGAATAGTACACTGGAGTAGTTTTCGAGACATTAGTCCACCCTTATTACCCAATACTGTAGCTTGCCCTACTACCCTGTTCCAAATGCTATAAGCTCCCTAAGCACTGTTGGAGGTAGAAAGCACACATATGTTCCCCTATGGAGCCCTTACGCCCTAACTAGCAAATCTTCAGCTAAGGACGGTGGAGCGACCAATGCCTCCAACCGTGAAGGCCACGGGGGGTTGGGGCTTTCGGATGCAAGATTTTAGGACGGTTCAGGGTTTAAGCCTTTGTGGTTTAGGATTCAGGGCTCAGGGTTTAGGGTTGAGGTTTCATGGTTCAGGGTTTCGGGTTTAGCCAGATTCTAATTGCAGTTTCCTCGGATCCTCAGGGTCGCAAGCAAACGTTGAGAGTGCAAAGCCCTCATTATCATTATTATTTATCATTATTATTACTATTATTACTATTAAACTATTTCTAATAATAAGGCCGCTTTCTTTAAGGGCCTTGATATTCGGATCCGCGTTATGACCTTTATGAGAGAGACGGGTGTTATCAATCCGGGGTCTGCATGACATTACTGCAGCGAGCAGCAAAGACATGCTGGATCCGTTTGAGGGGATCCAAATACCCAGACAGTCGGGTTTTGGATCCTAAACCCTGAACCCGAAGCCCTACACCCGAAACCCTAAGACCCCTAAACCCTCAACCCTAAAAGCTCCAAGCCCTACACCCTAAACCCTCGACCCCAAATACTAAATGGGTGGCGTCAAAATTATTGTCCCTTTTTTGGGTCAGTAATATAATACGGCACCTCATACTTAGGGTACCCAAAAGGGGACCCTAATTCTGACAACCACCCAAATCATAAAAGGCCAGAGTTAGTGGGATGCTTTGCACCCAGAGCCTTACGGCCTGTGCACACCGGGAAGTCTGGGACTTGCCAGAAACTCCACGTCTAGGGTTTAGGGTTTAGGGTTTAGGGTTTGTCTATGAAGGAAAAGTATACCATAAATCAGAACAAGGATCCCCCTTTTGTGCTTTACGGTTTAAGGTATCTTCCTGAATTAAGGAACAGGAATACTTCTCAAGTCACAGTACGGATCCCAGTTACAGTCTAGGGGGTTTGGGAGTCTCTGGGTTCCTTTTGGGGTTTAGGGTTTAGGGTTTAGGGTTTAGGGTTTAGGGGTTCAGTGTCTCAGGCAAGTAACATGGGGGCAAGAGGGTCTGGGGGCCATTATAGTACAATTATAATAAGGAGCCCCCAAAATGTTATAGGTAATCTACAGTATCGGCTTAGGGTGTAAGGTTTCGATCTTGGTGGCCGTGTCCGGATGGCGAAATAGTAGCCTGTACGGCTGATTCTAAATTAGGGTCTGGATGTATCGCCATACGAGTCTAAAGGGAGTGTATGGGAAAAGGCCCTAAACCCTAAAGCCTGAAACCCTGAAACCCTGAAACCCTAAACCCTACTGTTGAATCTTCAATCTCCATGCTAGGCTTCCGGCTTCAGGTCCTGGCTTTCTCGGGTTTAGGCTTTCGAGGTTAATGGGTCATAAGATTAATTGCAGGGAGCCGCCATACCTGATACCATGGGGTTTAGGGTTTTGGGTTTCGGAAGCATTATCCGCGATCCGGAAGTACAATGCACAGAAAAAGCCACACATTCAACTATAAGCCAAAACTGCGGGCAGGCAGAGCCCAAACGAGCCTTGTAAACCCCATGCAAGACCTAAACCCTAAACGAAAACTACAGCATCCGTATAGAAACCTTGTTAAATTCTTTAGAAGGAACTCTTGAAGGAATTCTTAAAGGCACAATACTGGACAATGAGCCTTCTAAATCCTGTGCCCTAAACTATACCCCCCCCCCCCCAACAATCCCAAGCTCTTTACGGCCTAGAAGCCTCCAGCCCTACAAAAACCTAGAGCCTTCAGCCCTAAACCGCCTTAAACCCCAAACCCCCACCCCTAAACCCCACCTTAAGCCCCTACACCCTACTGGTATAAAACCCTAAACCCTAAACCCTAAGCCCTAAACCCTAAACCCTAAACCCTAAACCCCTAAACCCTAAACCCTAAACCCTAAACCCTATCCAGGCCGAGATTGTCCTCTGGGGAGATGAGCAGTCGATCACAGCGATCATGGTGGAGGGCCTGTTCTTGGTGAACAAGGTCCGGGGGTTTCCGAAAATAGGGGACCCCAATATAGTACCCTAAATAATAGGATCCTTATTATAAGGAAACTCCCAGGTGGGCTTGGGCTTTGGGGTCTTTGGGGTTTAGGGCTTAGGATTTCAGGGTTTAGGGCCGAGGGCCTTTTCTTGGTGAACAAGGTGGGCTTGGGCTTTGGGGCTTCAGGGTGTAGGGTTTCAGGGTTTAGGGCCGAGGGCCTTTTTTGGTGAAGGTGGGCTTCGGGTCTCTAGGGTTTGTAGGGTTCAGGGTTTCGAGTTTAGGGCCTTTTTTTTGGGTGAGCAAGGTGCGACTTGAACAAGGTGCGGCTTAAACGGGTCTTTGTGGAAGGTGTTCTCGGTTTCCGTAGGGTTCTTCATGTTCGACAGGTTTTTCTTAAGGGCTTGAGAAGATATTCGCAAGTGCCCAACGCGGACTTGTTAATCGATCATTAGGCTGGATGATGCCATTTCAGCGAAGCACACCCTGTCAACGGTGGCTGCGCTGGAGATGCGTTGCTCCAGGACGAGCTGCTCCCAAACATGGGAAGCTGGAGGGCGAACTGCTGGTGTTGTGCATCGAGCAGTAGATCCAAATCCTGCAGAATGTCGCGCCGGGATTTGGGAGTCTTGCGGTAAAGTGGGGGATGTAATGCGAACACGCAGCCCAATGCACAAGCACTCACATACCGAAACAAGTCCAATGCCGCGGAACTAGGGAGCATATTCTAGATCTCAATGGGATCAGTCTACCAGGACTTTGGGTATCTTGCTGGCTTAGGTTTCTCGTGGAACTTCTTGGCGACTTTCCGGGTCTTCCTGTGCGTACGAGTTTCTCCACACACTTCGTTACTCACACATGTGACAAGGGTCCCCTATCGATCAGAAACCCTAAACCCTAAACTTCATAGTAAAGTTTAGGGTTTAGGGCTTAGGATTATATCAACCCTAAAGCCTGAACCTTGAGTACCAGCCAACGATCGTGTTTTCGCTTGCTGTCTCGAATTCCGAAGATCCTGTTGCAACTGGAAGCCAACACCTTGGCCCTTCCATTTAGGTTCAGGCTGTTTTGCTGTTAGGGGAAGCGCTTAGGTTTAGTCCAGCTTGAGACATGTGGGTGGTTGTCAAAATTATGGTCCCTTTTTGGGTCCTTACTATAATACGGCACCTACTATTTAGGGTACCCCAAAAGGGACCATAATTTTGACAACTACCCATGTCTGTACAGGCACGAGAACTGCTCAAGTTGAGCAGCCCAAACAAATCGGGGTGTCCCATAAATCTTTGGCTCATGTAGGGTCTAGGGTTTGGGGTATAGGGGTTGAGTTCAGCAAGGATTGAAAGCTACAGATATGTATTGGAGCCTGAATGAGTACTCATATTATCCTTAAATGTTCCTGTTGTATTGTTGTACTACAATATACCTGACCCCTAAACTGCCCTAAACCCCTAAACCCCCAAACCCGAAACCCCTAAACCCCTAAGCCCCTAAACCCCTACACCTAAACCTCTAAACCCTAAACCCCAAAACCTTTGTGAACTTCTTGAGGCCCCCATATCAGTCCCGGCCCTTTACCTCCCTGCCATTACAGGTGGTAGCTGTGCTCGGCAATGTGTCCGCGGTCGGCAGTCCCAGCACAGATTTTTGGCTGCAACGAGGGCTTGCGAGTTTAGGGTTTAGGGTTTTAGGATGGTTGTCGCCGGTTTTCAACCGGTCTCGGAGAACAAGACGACACGGGGGAATCAATGACCAGCCTGAAACCCCCCGTTCACCGCCAGTTCGCGGAAGGAGAGCAGATCCTGGTCTCGATTGGTGGATACAGCCGAACCCGACACGTCCTCGGTGGTTGTACAAGGCACCAGACTGGGTTGCACATGATTTTCTGCTGTAAGAGCAGGGTCCAGCGCTTCTGGATGTAGGTTTGAGGATAGTGTTAGTCTGCAGGTTTCGGATATTTCTAGTTACTAGTTGGGATGTGCCTCAGGGGCAGAAGGGGGGTGCTGCCGTGGCTGGTTAAGGGATGTCTAGGGTTTCGGGGCTTTCGGGCACCTCAGCATCGAGGAAAGGATTTGTTTAGGTCCGCTGACCGGTGACGTACGCCCTAATTACGTCCTAAACTTTGTGGCATACGTTTAGCCTTAGACTATGGATCCGCAAGCCCTGAACGCTAGAGCCGAAGCCCAGCAGAACCGTGCCCCCGAGCCCTAGACCTGCCACTACCAGGAGTCTCCGGGTGCAGGCGGGAAATCTCTCTGCCAGGAAATCAAAGCTCGTGGCCCGTTGGTGCTGCTTTGGCGATCTCGGCCACTGAATTCCCGCAGCCGCCTGCGACCACGGAGACAGAGGCACAAGGGTAGGGTTTGGGGCTCATAGTTTAAGGCTGCTGGAGGTTTAAGGGTTTTGGGTTTCCGGGCCCAGTAAGGTTAGCAAGTCATGCCGAGCATCGAGATGAGGCTGCATTTGAGGCTTCAGGGTCCACTGCCAACCCTTGCATTCCACCAAGACTCTCCACTCCGAGCCCGACAGACCCTAAACCCTAAACCCTGAACCCTAAACCCCTAACAGGTCCGACGGCTGGCAGAGAGACCCACGTATGATCCTGACTCTGACACGACGCCTCGCTGTCATTATGCGAGTTCCGGGCCCGAATGCTCGATCAGCCTTGCCTTACCAGAGCTACTTTAGTGTTGGATGGGTGTAATGTAGGGGCCTTAGTAGTTAGAACTGGGTTTTGCGGCCCATCATACTACGAATATAAGAAGGAACCCCCCCAAATAGTATTGGCAATTATTTAGGCCCCTGTATTTGCAGGCTTTAGGGCTTTCAGCTCATCACCTAACCCTGTCGGGTCAAGAACAACCAAATCGAGATTCAGGGTACTTCTAGACCAAGTTTAACTAGTAATGTACACCCCCGCATACAAAAAGCTTACAAGTACGCGGAGGATCCCAGTACTTAGGGTTCCAAGCCATGTAGTCCAATCTCCCGTCGATACCGTGCAGAACATCGGATCCTTCTTACACTATCTGCATCCGACAAGGTTTGTAGATTCGAGCTTGTCGCTTCTCTCCTCTTGGACTTTAATGTGGATGTCTCTGTGTAGCAACTTGCCATCCGAATCCTTCAGCGGGAAAGCCATCCAACCTAAGCCCAGGACTTTGCTATCTTTGGACGAGCCGGTGACCCACCGGCATTTCGCCGGCGTTGTCGACGAGAGCATGGCCACTAGCCCTGGTCTAGGCTCCAGTCTTCCAGTTTCGGGTTTGATACAGCTGAAAACCCCAACAAATTATCATGCTCATAACCCTAGCTTGATTCTGTAGGGCCCTGCACCTACTGTTGTACAAGCTGGGCGTAAAGAGTGTCGGCCCTGGGTTTCGATATCGAGCATCGGGCTTACAGACTGCCGGAGCCACTTGGGCGGAAAAGGTCACCCCTAAAGCCTGGTTTTTGATAGAAACTTTCGACTTAATCGGAACAGTTCAGTGGCTTGGGTCAGATCTAAGCAGCAGGCCTGAAACCCCACACCATGAGCCCTAAGCCCTTAAATTTTACACCCGAAGGCCCGGAAATCTAAACCCAAATCCAGCAACTCTAAGCACGTCAGTAGCCCGCGTAAATTCAATATCAGAAGCTTTCATTCTTCCGAAAGGCACCCTAAACCCTACAAGCCCTAAAACCCTATTCCCAAGACTCCACAAGGAGAACGCGAACTGGCCTCGCCCGCGTCTCGCTGCAGCTGTTGCATTGCTGGAGATCCTGCTACACATAAACCCTAGTTCTTGCTGGGGTTATGGGGTCCGGCTTGAGGGTTTGGGGTCAGAGTCTGTGGGCATCTAGAGTTCGGGTGTTTGCATTGTTTTTGGGGGAGTTCGTTCTGTATGATTTTGGCTGTCATGATAAGAGTTACATAGTGCTGCTGCTAAGGTAGCTGCGCAGGTATGGCCACTCAGAGCTGCTCTTAAAATCGGTCCACAGGGCGCCGCAGATGTTGGGCAAAGGGCTCCCACACTCACCTAAACCCTAAACACTTTAGGGTTTAGGGTTGAAGGGTTTAGGGTTAGGGTTTAGTACTGGCTTCGAATTGGAGCCTATTGTTTCGGGCTGTGCAAAATCTCTGCAAGACTTGCAGGCTGCAGTAAAGGCTCCTCAACGCGTAAACTCTGAATCCAAGTGAATTCAATGCAGGAGGGCCGCTCCAATGTGGTAATCCGCACTGGCGAGGAGATCTCATGAACTTATGCTCCTTTGTTTCTTGAGGGCTATGTCAGGGTTTCTGATGATGATGGCTGTGACAGACTTTGTGTTCATTGTGGATGTTTATGTTGGTCGAGTCTTCGGGTGGGGATTGCGTGTATAATGTAGGGGCCTTATAATTACCAATGCTATTTTGGGGGTTCCTGCTTATGAATATAGTCTACTCGGCCCCCAAAACCCTATTCTAATTACTAAGGCCCCTACATCAAGCCTTGAAACCTTCGATCGGGGCTGGCCTGCAATGCCCCTAGCCCTAAACTGGAAGATGGGCTTGCAAGATCGAGAAGCTTCAGTAAGCACACACAGTCTCATGACAGCAAAGCCCTAAACCAGCTATAGTCGGAGTCATGTATCCTCATCCAGACGCCTTCAGGATTAATTGGTGGTACTACTCCTTGGGTTCCTAAGTCTAGCTATACGTAATCTAAAGCAGTCCCCAACTTGGGGTTTTCGAAAATAGGGGACCCTAAAATATAGTACCCTAGATAGTAGGATCCTGATTTATAAGGACCCCCAAAATACGGTACCCCTTATTTTCGGAAACTCCCAAAATCCTATTCCAATCTCCACTCCTCTGTTTTACGCCGACCATGTGGTTCAGAGTTTGGAGTTGTCCAGCTTCTCTTCTTGACATAGAGGCCACAGGCTCGATTCACAAGAAACCTAAGGTTCAGGGTTTCGGGCTTTTTTCAAGCTTCCTTAGTATGACTCCGTTGTATGAGCCCTTTCACCACAAACCTAAGGCATAGGGTTTCGGGGTACAGGGTTTAGGCTTTACACCGCGAGCGAGCGAGTCCTGTGAGCCTGCAGGGTTTGTGCTGGGGTGTAGAATACTCGGGTCAGGCTTAAGGGTTTAGGGTGCAGAGTTCTGGTTTTGGGGTCTAGGGTTCTTTGACTCCGATCACGTATTTTGTTTCTCCAGACAGCTCCAACAGCCTCAACCCTAGACTCTAAACCCTGAACCCTAAACCCTTAGTATATGCTGCAACCGTGAGTTGTTTTAACCGTAAGTTTGGTTCCAAACCAACCTTAGAGTCGGTGGCTCTTTCTTGTTAAGGAACGTAGTTTAGGTTGCCCAAATAGGCTAGGAATTAGGATGGCTTCCGAACTGCTATTATGCCAACTTTGCTCAAGTTCCTTGACAAGAACCCAGGTGGAGGTACCTCCGGCTTATGAGTACACACACACACACCACTGGGCTTCCTGTTCCCGGATTTCCAGTTACATTGATTCAGAATCTGAAGGTTCAAATACCGTATTGGGGTTTAGGGTGTAGAGCTTCGGGTGTCTCGGGACAGTAGTAATGTAGGCTTATGTTTTGGGGAGTTTCTGATTCTTAGGTGTTAGGACCCTCAGGGGTTTGGGTTTCTTACACCATGAAATATATCAATATCCCAGTAGATCCCAGGCCCTCAGCGGTTCAGGCGGTTTTACTTCAGCCGCAAGCCCTGTACCCTAAACACATCACTAAACCCCAAGGCCAAAGGTTGAGGGTTTAGGGTTTAGTAATAGACAGGAGAACACCGATCACGGTGGTGAGGTTGTCGTCGCCAGCTCTGCCGATGGCTTTTGGGATGCTGGGCTCTGCTTTGCTTAAACTCTTAGCACGCCAAAAACTTAGAGCCCACAAATCCTATAACCTCACCCCGAGACGAACCCTGGCCCTATACATCCTAAACCCCAACATTCGAACCCTACATAAAATGGCATCCCTTATAGCCAAGGAGGGCCAAGCGCTTTTCCGCGACGTGGATTTCCTTGGCCTGGGAAAGCACCTCTATCAGGCAGGTACTCGGGGGCCAGGATAATCACTACTTCCATGTTAGGGTTTATAATAAGAACCTACAAAGAAGTAGGTTCGGCAGGTGGCGGCATTTATGTGCCAGCGCGCTATTCTATTCATTACGGCCATTGCTTTCGGTACTGTCTAGAGCTGTCTAAGCCTTGAAGGGGCTTAGACGGGCTTTATACGGCAAGTTTGGTTCGACTGCAGTTGGCCACAGGGTATACTGAGCCTCTTGACCTGTGAGGTGTATACCTTGTTGGTAAAGGGCTTCGGGCTCGGGGTTGGGGGCTTATGGCTTGCCTGTTCAGGGTTTGGGGCTACAGCCCTAAACCATAAACCCTAAGCCCTAAACCGTGACAGTCTTAGGATTTAGGGCCTCGGAGTTTGGAACATGTCGGTGTTGGGACTCTACCCTAGGGCTTGGGGCGTGTAACAAGGTTTCGGGGTATTTGTGTAGGGTTTATATGTGGGCTTTCTAACTGATTTTGAATGGGTTTGAGGTTTAGGGCTTTGCATGTTACGGCTTACCTGGACGCCAAAAGTATATAGCAGAATAAGAATCTCCTGCTTTGTAGGTGTTGGGCCCTTATTGTACCTGCTTTTGGGGGATCTCATACCCTAAACCCTAAACCCTTTTCATGCTTTAGGTTCACAGTTCATGGCCGTAGCTTCAGAGGTATAGGTTTTAGGTTTTAGGGTTTAGGGTTTAGGGTTTAGGGTTTAGGGTTTAGGGTTTGGGGTTTAGGGTTTAGGGTTAGGAACTTGGGTTTGGGGATCCAGAGCTGTGAGACCACATCCCACTCTCATCTTCTAAGACCCGCATAGCGGAGGCAGGCCTGGCGCTTGGAAGAAAGTACTAGGGAAAAGGGTTTAGGGTTTAGGGTTTAGGGTTTAGGGTTTAGGGTTTTGGGGTGGGGGGGTATCCTGAACCTAAACGACCCCTATTCCGTTAAACCCTAAACCCCTGTAAACCACAACAAACCCTAAACTTGCCCCAAACCATTGTACATAGGGGCTTTAATAGTTTGATTAGAATAGGGTTTGCGGGTATTTTGCATTAATCATAGTAAAGAACCCCGCCAAAACCCTATTCTAATTATCAAGGCCCCTACATTCCCTAAA